TGCTGCTGCCAGCCCGTAATCTGTCATGGGCCCCTGTACCGCCTCCTCATGCTGCTGCCAGGTCCAGAGTGTGTCATGGGTCCCTGTACGGCCCTCCCATTGCTGCTGTCTCCATCGCCACACTCTGCCATGTGCCACTTTCAGGTCTCCTCACACTGCTGGTGGGTTCCATTTTGTCATAGGGTGCTGTATGGCCTCCCATTGCTGCTGCCTCCACCGCCACACTGTGGCTCCACACTCTGGTTTTGGCCCCGTGACTGCCCAAATGAGTGAAGTGTGCGGTGATTCTAAGATCGACGGTTTGCAAAGTGCCACTCATCTGCATGTCATACTGACTGACAGTATTATTTCTCTTCCCCAGCAGACTCCAAGGGCATTTAAATTAAAGGTACAGTGTTCTGCACTAATATAAATGCTCTCTGAAGCCTAGAAACACCCTTTTTATAAGTTAAATTCGCAGCGAATATATTCGGCTCGAAGCGAATTTATTCGGTGAATTCGGCGAATCAGCCGAACCGAATTTTTGAATAATTCGCTCATCTCTACTCTCACACCATAGAACACTTTTTGCCGATAATTTCCAGCTTTCAGAAGAACACTTTTGGGAAGAATTAGAGCAGAGACTGGGAGCCAGGCTTTTTGTTTGACATCACTGCCTGACCTCACAAATGCCCTTCAAGAAGAATGGTCAAACATTCCCATAGACACACATATATGAAAAGGGAGGGCCAACTCAATATTGAACCCTAAGGACTAAGACTGGGATGCCATTAAAGTTCATGTGCATGTAAAGGCAGGCATCCCAATACTTTTGACAATATAGTGTATTTCTGGATCATATCAATTCTGAGCCATTGTGGATCATTTGGGACTGTGTCAATATCATCCCTATTATGGGCATGAGTTCTTCAATGCTCATATGTATACAAAGAGCTGAAGAAGGTATTTAATAAATTTGCCTTCTCTTTGTCCCCAGTCACCCACTTCTGATTAAAGTGGGTGACTGTGGGACTACATGCTTAGACTAGTAAAGGGACTACATGCTTAGACTTGAACTTTTTACAATTACCGTATTTTCCGTTGTATATAGATGACTTTTTAACCCTTGAAAATCTTCTCAAAAGTCGGGGGTCGTCTTATACGCCGGTATACGGCATGCTGACACTTGGTGTCAGGGCATCACTTTTTAGGGGGGTGGCACGGTGCAGGGGTGGGCAGGGGGCTGCTGTTTCTTACCTGGCTCCGGTCCCAGTCCCACGACGATCCAGTCCAGGAAGCGCGGCTGCTCCTTCATTCAGTTCGGCCCGCTCGGCTCCGCCTCTTCACCAGTTAATAGCCGCCAGAACTGTAGCTCAGGAAAGGCACACACGTGGCCAATCACCAGCGAGGAGGTGGAGCCGAGTGGCCCCGTGAAAATCGAGTGTGAGGGAGCGGCCGGTAAGTGGGCCGTGCAGAGGTGCTGCTGCAACCACATATGCTGGCTGCAGCAGCACCATACTGGAACAGGGGTCAGCAAGTGTCATTGGTGTCAGTGGGAGGAATAGTGCCCATCATTGGTGTCACTGATACTAATGATGGGGCATTATTCCTCCCACTGACACCAACGATGGGGCACTATTCCCTCCCCCCACTGACACCAACGATGGGGCACTATTCCTCCCCCACACACTGACACCAAGGATGGGGCACTATTCCTCCTCCCCACTGACCCCAACAATGGGGCACTATTCCTCCCCTCCCCACTGACACCAACAATGGGGCACTATTCCACCCCCCACTGACACCAATGATGGAACACTATTCCTTCCCCCACTGACACCAATGATGGGGTACTATTCCTCCCACTGACACCAATGTTGGGACACTATTCCTGCCACTGATACCAATGATGGGGCGCTATTCCTGCCACTGACACCAATGATGGGGCACTGTTCCTCCCACTGACACCAATGATGGGGCGCTATTCCTCCCACTGACACCAATAATGGGCACTATTCCTCCCACTGACACCAATGATGGGGACTATTCCTGCCACTGATATCAATAATGGGGCACTATTCCTCCCACTGACACCAATGATGGGGCACGATTCGTCGCTCTGACACCAATGATGGGGCATGATTCTTCACTCTGACACCAATGATGGGGCACTATTCCTCCCACTGACACCAATGATGGGGCACTATTCCTCCCACTGACACCAATGATGGGGCACTATTCCTCCCACTGACACCAATGATGGGGCACTATTTCTCCCACTGACACTAATGATAGGACACTATTCCTCACACACTGACACTAATGATGGGGCACCAACATTGGTGTCAGTGGGAGGAATAGTGCCCCATCATTGGTGTCAGTGGGAGGAATCGTGCCCCATCATTGGTGTCAGTGGGAGGAATAGCACCCCGTCATTGGAATACCATACTGAAATACCATACCATATTGAAATCAAATCTGATGTTTTTTAATTTGGTGTGCGTTGGAAGAGGGGTAGTCTTATACGGCGAGTATAGCCCAAACCCTATATTTTAAAAACGAAAAGTAGGAGGTCGTCTTATACACCCAGTCGTCTTTTACGCCGGAAAATGCGGTAATATATTTGAAGAATTTCTTTGAGTTGGTCTTACTCTCTTTTGCAATCTGTTGGTCATTTTTAATTTTTGCAGCATTTGCTTTTTACATTTTCTGTTACATTCCTTGTGACAATTAAATGATGATAGTGTTTCTTCATTCTGATATTTTATAAAAAGCTCTTTTCTTTTCATTTATAGCTTTTTTTTAATTTTGGTTTTAGTTTTTTAAACTTGTTGCCCATGGGAATATATTTTCATTGTACGCTATTTACGACAGCTTCCTTGCTGTCAATGTTTGCTAAGGAAGCAGTGGGTGTCAGCACCTGACATGTCCTTAGCAACCAGTGACATCACCAGCCCCATTTATTTACTTTCCAGGAATCCCCAGCCATATAATCAAAGGGACAGGGTTTACACAACATCACTGACTAAATATGGCCACATGACACCACCCAGTAGTCCATGCCCCTTTGTTTATTTTTACAGACAGGCCCAGGAGATGTCATTCATCTGCAATTAGCAACATGGGATCAGATATGTCCATCGGTCAGCTGAATTTTTTTTATTTCAGCATGTGTTGGGCATTGTTCATCATGATTAATGTGAATCTGCAGAGCTGAAAGACATAATTGATGAAATTAAATTGTGACCCCTTACTTATTAACAAAGGGGGGGATCAGTATCACAAGGTCCCCTTATTTTTAAAGGCTGCTTCAAAGATTTCAATAAGCCCCACTGTCCACAGAACCCCACAACCACCTTACTAGAGTTGTGAAGAATGACCCTTGTTCTCTTCAACATGTGGACAGGGGCTTTGCCAGGGAGGTTCCACCTGGCAAGGTACCCCCATGTTGAGGGCATGTGGCCTGTTAAGGCTCAGCAGGACAATGTAAAGAGATAAAATGGTAGCTGTGGGGAAGTATGTCCTATAACATGCTTGGCATCCATTCACAAAACTAATTAATTATAAAACAGCACCATGAGAGTTGTACATGAAGGGTGTTATAGAGGAGGAACAGAGTTGAAAATGGGTGTATAAGAAACTGAAACATGTGGAGATGGAAGGGAGAGTGTCAGAAGCACCACAATAGACTGTGAAGATGGTGAAGAACACTAAAATTCAAACAGGATGTGTTAGTGGACTTGGGGACAATCGAGGATGAAAAGGGAACACACATTCTCATACACTGAAAATAGGTCACTGGGGAAGTGCGGAGGAGATAAATGCACATTGGGGTTGTTTATTTTCCCATTTGACTTGTTGAAGGTGGATCTGAACAAACAGCGTGCTTGCCAAGGTTGGAGAGATTAACTTAATGTAAGTAATCCTATCTGTTTTTCTTAAACCTTAGTGCGATACTATGATTGTGCTTCACTTCTAATTATAATGCAAGTTTTAAGGTCAGCTGACCCACTGAAACAATGCACTCACTAGGTAGATGCTATCTTTAAACAACAATTGCAAAGCAGACTAATGCTGGTTACACACACAGCCCGAACATTGTCCCAAAATGGTTGGTTTGCCAAAAACCGGCTAACTTTTGGCCCGTATATAGATCCCGACAGACGCTCGTCTCAACTGGCTTCTGTCAAATTAGCATGCTGGCAAACCAGCATCTGACCAGTGCTGGCAGCCAATGGCTGTATCCCTGTCAGAACACAATAGGTCAGCAAGTGAGATCGCCACACTAACATTGTTCAATTAGTACGGCAACCTCTTGGTTTTTTTTTTTTTTTTTTCGTTTTAGCCCACTGGATACAATGTAGCAGTTGGTGTGCGTTGCTGCCTGGTCGAATCAGTGCAGTGCTGATTCACTGTTCTTGGTGAATTGAACTGTCCCCTTTTTTAAAAAAAAAACTTTAAAGAGATGTCACACAGACATTTCAAAAAGTTCAACTGGCGGCAGCGCAGTGCAAGGCAGTGGATTGCTTCACATTGGCTCTGCTAAAAAAAAAAAAAAAAAAAAAAGTACTGCATGCAGTGATGTGAACCAGGCACATATGGAAACAGGGCATTTTGCCTTGACATGCAATGGGATTGTGCTGGAATGGCCAATCAACGCAGTCCCACCACACGTGGTGTGAGTGTACCCTTACTAAATAATTTTAGGAAAATATTGAGCTCCTTCTAGTGGCTAACCTACACATCTCTATATTTACTCAAATAAAATAATATGAAAGTGCAAACACTTCACATAAAATATTTCTTTAACAAAAACACTTCAATAGATGTGCTCTTCAAAAAGGCACTATACATACAAATTAATCACACTTTTCATATTAATTATCTGTATTCACACATTTACAACATTAAAAAGAAATGTTTTTTTTCTGAAAAGAAACTATTATGTGATAAAAAACATTGGTAAAGTGAACATAAGAAACATCAGAGCATTTATGGAGCATGTCCCACTAGATTCTTACAAAGCTGATGTTGTTCTTTGCCATTGATTCCCAGCTTAGCATTGCTGAGCTCAATACGACTCTGCCGCCGGCTCTGAAGGCTGGTGTAAAGCCCGACTGTGCGACGCTTGGCCTTTCGAAGGATGTGGCAGACATATTGAAAAATTTCCTCGTAACAGTCTCCAGGCTCAGCATAACTAGCTACTGTACTAGAAGATAAATACAAAGCCCTCTGTTCCTGCATCAGCTGGTGTTCCCTTTGCTTGGTTTCAGAGAACTGAGTGGCAATAACAACCAGGCACAAATTGATCATGAAGAACGATCCAACCTGCAGCAAGAAAAAACAATTAGATTACAATGCTGTTCTGAAGCTTCAAAATACAACAGACAGATTCAAATCTCAGCATGAATTTTGCAACTCTTCAGACAAGGGAAAGGATAGATTAATTGCTTTTTTTCAGATGCAATAATAGTTATTGCACATTACTTAAAACAGGTGCTTTTTAATTGTTAAACTGAAGCTCTTTGATTTACTGTGTAAGCACTGATAATTATAAAGGCAATGTAATTAATCTTCAGCAATTTAACTATTCTATGTTACACATAGAATATTTCCCCTAAAATACAGGGGATATACGGTATTTACACATTTCCCTGCAATGGCCAGCATCTATCCACTAATCATTTGTCCTCACACAATCAGAGAGCTGATAAACTACCTAGGCAGCTGTAACAGAAGAAAAGGAAAAGAAGATTTTAGGGTTATTATCCTAATTTGAACATAAATGAATGCTGCACTGCCTCTGGTGAAAAACCACACTGCAATAAAAAAAAAAAACACACTACAATAAAAAAAAACATAAACTTGTGTCTCTTTGCCTCCTATATAATTTATAAAATAAGCCCCTCCTCCTCAGAATAACCCTACAATATAGGAAATGGCTTTGCAGACTTATCCAATAGGTGAAAGATGTTCAATGAAGTGAAAAAATGTTAATTAGTGAAATAATGTTCAATTCCTGTACCAATCCTAACCAATGTGAATATATAGCATTCAAATATTATACCATAAACAAACATGTACACAGTGCATTAGATATGCAAATACTGAAGTCCCAATCCACCACTAGCATCAAACATGAAAGTCCCAATGTGATTCACTTCCCCAGCGGCATCCAATGTGAATGGGGTGAAACAGCGATCAATTATCTTCTCCATGAAACATCTTTATGTTGAGTGCACCACTCAGTGCTCCCCCTCCAGAGCCCCACTAACCCAAAGATGTTGACCCCCTGCATAGGTTGGTCAAACTGCGTTTTTGGTGTGTCAGCACACTCCTGCAAGTCAGTAAAAAAAAATTATAAAATCAACAAGTTTATTACTTGAATAAACTTGTTGATTTTATAATTTTTTTTACTGACTGAAGATTCGAATTGAGTGTGTTTCCTTTCTCAAGAGGAATTACGTATCCTGGATCTGGGGCTGAAATATGCCCCTGATAAAAATCGGGATAAATTTGAGGCATTTATTGACATTCAAAAGTTTTAGACAATTAAATCTCAAGAAATATCATGTAGGTAAGAAGTTTAAAATTGAGGAAGTGAGTAATGAATTTCAACATAGCAACCTCAGAAATAACACCACCTTTAATCCAAGGATGGGAGGCAATGAATATCTAGAAGTTTTAAAAAACTGGTGACAAATGAAATAGAGAATGTACAAGTAAAAACAACACAGCAGACGACCATATGGGAGGGAATTAAACGGATAGAGGAAAGGAAAAATGTTGTTATCCGCCCAGCAGATAAAGGAGGAGGACTAGTAATTTTATCAAAATTAGACTTCATGGAAACAATTAATCGATAAGAATAAAGTGAGGAAGGAACCAACATTTAATACGGCTTTTGTTACAGGATTTAATTGACAATACAAAAAGGTTGAGCATATCAAGAAACACTGGCATATTTTAAAGAAGGACGTGGAGTTATCAAAAATCCTACCCAATAGACCAAAGTTTATATATAAGAAAGCTCCAAATCTCAGAAATTGTTTGGCACATAATGTGGTAGATCCTATTGTTTCAAGACCTAAAAGGTTTTTCTAGATGTCAGAAGTCCCTACCGTGCTGGACCATCAAGTCAACAGAAAGGAAACGCACTCAAAGCGAGTCTTCAGTCAGTAAAAAAAATTATAAAATCAACAAGTTTATTACTTGCACTAATACCATGTCACATATGTCATTGAATGCCCATGCCATCCTTAGTATATAGGACGCACTACTAGACAACTCTCCACTAGGATTAGGGAACATATCAATAAAGGTTACAAACAACATAGTTTATATACACATTTTAGGGAAGTGCACCAAAGGGATCCCAAACTGATGTTTTTTATGGCATAGATAGGGTTCTACCGCACTGGAGGGGCCTTAATATGAAGATGTTGGTGTCTCAAAATGAAACTCTGTGGATATATGAAATGGGAAATCTTTTCATTTACACACAAACTATCCACTCCCGCATGGGTTCCATAAAGTCCAGATATGAACATATCTGGACCCTCTTTATATTCATATTCATTTTAATAAATTCCCAGGACCCTGGTATATGATATTCTGCCGTGGTATTACAGGGGATCAATGCTATAACCCTTTGAGATTTCTCTAGATATTCCTATGTACTATGTGGGAAGAAGTATCTTTTTAGTGTGGAGATATGGTCTCCCTAGCTCCTCTGTTTTAGTCATGGGAGGTAGTATCCCTATGGAGGACACAGTAAGGTTCAGGCACCACATAGTGTAGGTACCCCCATCATCTCCTATCAACACTAGGTTTCCACAAGTTATTTCCTCAGTACGAGGGGGTTTTATAACATCATGGGCTCCCTGCACACTGTGATGGTGGGTTTATTGGTATACATACGAGGTATACCCTTAGTCATGTATTCCAAATTATTTACATACCAAAATGTTTTAAATTTATTTTTAATTTTATTTTATTATTTTTGTCCGGGGCTCTGGAAACATGGGTGCTGGGATTAGACATAACATACCTTTTTTCTCAACTTCTTTTTTGTATAAATTAAGCATCAGTCTAGTCCCCTCCTATGCTATCCCGCTTATGTGGGACTTCAATTGGCATTAGGATTGCAGGGATTATGGTATAATGTGTTGGGAGGTATCCATCCACGGTATCATGGCGGCCGTCCGGTTGCTATGACGACTGCCGGAATATATTTTTTTACACCTACAGTATAGTTTGTTTAATGTTGCCACCAGGGTGGGTAGAAATCCTTATAGGGGTTTCGGGGGCTTGAATGTCGAATCCAGCTGGCTCTTCACCAGGATCATCATGCACCTCGATCCTTGTTGATACTAGAGCTACAACAAAATGGCGGCAGCTAGTGCGAGAATTCAGCATTACATATCTAAGTATCGACTATAGAAAAATGGTGGTGGGTCGGCACTACAACAAAATGGCGACCGCAAATTAATTATTGATTGACCGGAGACCCTCCAGGAGTATATATGGACACATGGGGGGGCACTTCAGCCACACTCCTGATGATGTCATACGACAAAATGCATAGGGTGGGGCTTGACAACGCCACTTTGGTCTTACGAGAGGGAACACAGAGGACAATTGTGTCCTAGGATTTTAAAGTGCCACACATTTGTATCTCATGTAAGTGCAATTTTAAATGTCTTTTACCAAATAAAAACAGTATTATGTTATGGGAGCTCCCTTTTGATGTTTTTTATGGTGGTGGAGCAGTACTGTGGAGGAGCCGGAATTTTTTTTTACATATGGAGTCCGAAACCAGAGGATAGAGGCTTAGAGATCACATTGGCAGCCGACCGCTGCAGGAGTGTGCTGACACACCAGATGCGCAGTTTGACCTACCTACGCAGGTGGTCGACATCTTGGGGTGAGTGGGGCTCTGGAGGGGGAGCACTGAGTGATACACTCAACATGAAGATTTTTCACGGAGAAGATAATTGATCATCGTTTCACCCCTTTCACATTGGTTGCTGATGGGGAAGTGAACCACATTGGGACTTTCATATCTGATGTTGTTAGCGGTGGATTGGGACTTTAGTATTTGCATCATAATGCAAGAGAAGGGAGGAGGGAATACAAAGAAAGATAAAGGAGGAGGAGAATAAACTCCTCACTAGTGAAAAGAATTTCATGGATTTTGCTAATGAAGCTAAAGCCTTACAGACACGCCTTTTACAGTGTGGCTACAGCAAGTACTATCTGAGGAAAGCCTGTAACCGAGTTAAAAACCTCAATAGGTATCAATTAATTAATCAATCTAAAACTTGATCACCTCTTTCGACTACTAGAGTCATTACTTGCTTTTCAGGTCAAGAGTGTTTAGTGCGTGATATTTTAGGTAAATTCTGGTATTTGCTGCAGTCAGATGACACGGTTTCCAAATATATTGGCCCTTCACCCCAGATTACATTTTGCAGATCCAGATCCTTGAAGGATCAATTGGTACAGAGTCATTATGTTAGAAAAGATTTACCTAAATCCAAATCAAGGGGGACATCGCCATGTGGAATGTGTAATTATTATTGTTATCTGTTAAAGGCTACTGCTGTTAAACCTACCTAATGGATGTGTGTATACACCAAGATGTTCAGTCAATTGTCAAACTATTGGTGTGGTTTATTTAATGTTTTGTGACTGTGGGGCATTTTATGTGGGTAAAACCAAACAAATGTTTTTTCCGCACATCCGTGATCATATTTCCCTAATAAACAAAAAAAGACCAGAAACTCCCAGCAGCAAGCATGTAGGTCTTTATCACAACTATGACCTATCAAAAATATTTGTTTTGCTTTAGAGCACATCCCTATCCATAAGAGAGGTGAGGAGGTGGACCGTCTTCTTTTGCAGTGTGAAACCAAATGGATTTTTACTCTGCAGGCCACCAAATTTCCAGGTTTAAATGACTCCATAAGTTTTAAACCTTTTCTATAGTTCTAATATCTCAGTTGGATCTGGTCCTATCAATGGCTATCTATCAATGGTTTTACATGTTTTCTGCCTTTAATAGTTTAGATATGCATTCTGCATTACCAATGTCTCTATCTTTTAAGGGCATCTTTGTTTGGTTTAATTATCCCATGAATATTGTATTCTTTTGATATTTTACTATTTTCAACCTGAATGTTTGACACTTGGATGGTTCGTTTACAATGTGTGGGATGTTGATCAAGCTTTTCATATACAACCTAGATGGGCTAATTTCTACCCTACTGTAATTTGCCAGTTGTCCGCTAGATGGCACCTATTTGCATCATTGAGCCCTAGTTGGCCCATCATTAGGTCCTATTATTGTGGCCTA